TTATGCAAAGTTTGAAGTCAAACTGAAATTTTGTAGCAAAAATATAAGCGTTTGAATACGGTCTTACTTTACAAGGGAATGTATGGAAAGCCATGACAGTGTACTAATCCAGTACACGAACATGGCGGACAGTAACTCCGAGCGTCGAATTGAGGTCAAAACTAATGATTTTGCTTTAGTTTTACAACAATAACATTTTAAACATTTAATTTACTGCTGAGGCTATGCTTGTTTTAAACCTTAATAGGCTTTCCGAGGTTTATTTGTCGCGTTTCAAGTCCCGTGACAGTATTGCGTGATATATTTTTGAACGTTAATAACTCAACGAATAAACAGCAAAAAAAGTTTAAACTTTCGGAGAGAACTTCTATCATGCTCTTCAAGGTATTTTAGTGCTGCAATGTTGTGTGTCTGTGATTTTAGAATTTTTTTCGACTGATGACGTCATGTGCAAACCGAGAATAAATTCTACTCTCGGAAAGAACGTTAATAGGTCCAAATTTCGAGTCTTTGTGAGCACCTATCCACAATGTAAACAACTGTGACGTCATTATGCCATATGCCAATTTATGTCAATTATTCAATTATATATGCATATTTATAATTTCTAGATTTTGCAGGATGATTTTTCTGTTTTGAGTAGAAATTCAGATACATATATACATGAGACGATTGGACAGGCCGCCATGTTTGAAGGTCTCGAAGTAACACACTGTTGAAACTGCTCTCATAGACCCCAAAAAATGCAGACGTCTTAGAAAAAATCGACAAGGGTGCAATCTGTAATCGCGTGAACGTGCTGAACGACTCGACCGATGGACCTTCCTACTCTCGAAGATCAGTAAAATCCATATCTTCCCGCGCTCGCCCCCTTGCAATATCCAATGTCCTAGTATCTTTTCACTATATTTACCATGAAATCTCTCAAATGTTAGATATCAATAGTAAATCATTTTGTCTAAAAACGCTTTTGTGTGCTTTATTTAATGACATAGTTTAATTGTGAGCCTTGGTATCTAGAGTCACGGCATTTATTTTCTGTACATGTGAGCATGAAAGTAGGATACAATTCAGAAATATTGTTGTTTTTCAGATTTAAACACGGTGGGGGTTGAACAATACTCGAGAAGCAAGATAACACTCGCTACATTCGCGTTCTAAGCTTGCCATCTCTCGTGTTTTTCGCGGTGAACTTCCGTCGTATAATTAGAGGACAGAGACTCGCGCGCCGTTAAAATATATTTCTATTAATTCTTTTCTTTTTTTTTCTTTTCCTTTCTTTTTTCTTTTGAGCTTAAAGATTCCATATATAAGACGACGCTCACTTTGGCAAAAAATCCAGCTATAAAACATTTATTTACAAGAAACCTTTCTTAAAAAAGTAATAAAATTCATCTATTTTATTTTATTCTCATTTGTTTAGTGAAAATAGATCCATTTTGTTCGTGCGTCTGTGCTCTAAATATAGTGAGACAAAATTTGATCAACAGGTTGTATGCTCACCTGCATTTAAAGTTCCTAGTATTTCCCCATGTAACATGGAGAAGCTGACACGCGGATGATGTTGCATGTGTCGCGTGATGAGTATCTTTTGGTGACCTTTCACTCAGTAGATACAGATGTCCTAGTGCTAGGAGTTTCAGCATGTTCGGATGTCCTAGTGCTAGGAGTTTCAGCATGTTCTAAGCTAACCATTCAGCCCAAGCCAGAGTTCCAGATTGCCTTTGGCACAGGAAATCATCTACTTTACCTCGCTGTGCATGAGATGTCCAACAGTCTTGGGCAACAAAAGTCCTTGGCAATTCACTTTTTCCACACCTTTACTGCATGGTTGCGATCATAGTTTCCTGTTTTGCTTGGAAAAAAGACGCGGACTTTGATGTTTGAAAAGCACAATCTGATGYCACAACTGCATTTTTAATGCAAGCCACCCAATCTTGTCAGATCACTAAAGAGTGCATGATTTTTCTCCTGAAAGGTACGTTGTCATCCTTTATGTCCGAACATGTGACAGAAGTCTAAAATGATGCCAGAAAGCAACTGTTAGCCAAGAAAGGAAGGTTTTTGAAATCTATTCCACCTACCAGTCCTGTTGGAGCATACCAAACATGCTTGCTGCCAGGGATTGCACTGCTGGGGCCATGCTTTAAAATCCAAGTCCACAAGATTGGGGTTCAGTCTAGATACAGACAACTGACGAGTGTTAGCCATACTGGACATCTCTTGCTGATGTGGCCAAGTCGTGTATAGAGAGCTTATTAAAAACTGTTATTGAAGTCATTCATGCTCTTTTCTTTACATCTTACAGCTTTGGTGGTCAAAAACGACTAATCTTTATTATGCAAATTTTACTTCTGGTTTAAAATGGCCGCTATTCAAAAAATCCCCTTAATTAGAGAAATAGTTTTTTGTCCTTAAACTATATTAGAATCTCTTAACATAATTTAAACTCACCAACTGTCTGTGTTTAATCATAAACATGTATTGTGTTTGATTTATTACCATTTGAAATTTTACTTCCGGTTCAAAATGGCCGCCATTTTGAAAAATCCCCGTAATTGCCGACTGCATCGGTTTTTGCGTTGCCACTATATCAGAATCGATTCCTGGCATTCAAAGACATATTTTGACAGTGTCATGATTTAAACCTGAAAGTGAACAATTGCCTCACCTATCCGCCTAACTATTACAGAAAGGAGAAACAATGAAGATGGAAGTGATGATGATGACGGACTTATCGGACACCTCATCGCCAGGCAATTGCTAACTGATCTGTGATTCCATTATAAAATGATGTATCACAGAGAAACAATAAAATGATTTTTAGAAGAGTAAACTTGGATTTTTAATGAGGTGGGGTTGGGGGTCATAACATTCCGGAAAGGAATCTGGGGGAGGGTCAAGATATTTCAATCATTTTGCTTTAGGGGAGGATCATTATATTTCCATCACTCCATTCAAAATTTGAACTCCCCGCCCCCTGCTAATTTCTGACAAGTCCCTTATGCAAGGGTTAATAGAACGCTCTTGATCTTTAAAACCTTACTTGCTATACTTTTGTCAAAAATAATTTGATAATCAATCAATCAATCCCTCATTCGATCAGTAAATTATTCAGTTACTCAATCAATGAATCATTCAACCAATCTATCCATTATTTATTTATTCAATCATTCATTCAATCAACCAATCAATCAATCATTCAATCAACCAACCAATCATTCAATCAACCAATCATCATTCAACCAACCAACCAACCAACCAACCAACCAACCAACCAACCAACCAAACAATCATTCAACCAGCCAACCAACCAACCAATCAATCATTCAACCAGCCAACCAACCAACCAATCAACCAGCGAACCAGCGAACCAACCAATCATTCAACCAGCCAATCAATCAATCAATCAATCAATCAACCAATCAATCAATCAATCATCCAATCAATCAGTCAATCAATCAGTCAATCAATCAATCAATCAATCAATCAATCAATCAATCAATCAATCAATCAATCAATCATTCAATCCATAATCCAATCAATTAATCGCATTTGTTTAGGTTTTGAATGGATTTTATTTTTTCTGACTACAAAAATACAAAATTCTAAAGAAAAAAAAAACTACTTTACAAATGATTCCGAATTACATTTGGTTATCAGTAGCTAAGATCACTGTTAAGCCAATTTGTTCGTTCCTTATGCCATTTCATTTTGAAGTTGCTTATTTGTCTAGTGTACGCGTCTTACACAATAAACCACGTACTTGTAACGCCTCTGGCAATACTTCGCCCAGAAAGAACAGTTATATTTACGGGAGCGGTGCCATCTCCTGGGATGACATCTCTTTCCACTTAATTTCCAGCCATAGCAGCAGATTTTTTTTGAATCTTTATGAACGAGATGCCAGCCTTTTGCACAAGAACGAGCTGCAAATGAATCGACGGATATAAAAAAATAATTAACTAGTTTATGTTCTTTTTATTTATTGAGTAATTTTAACTTTCAGTTGAATTTATTCAAAGAGTAAGCTGTATTTACCAGCTTCATGGAATATAAAAAGTGCAATTTTATGTATTCTTCTCAGTTATAACATATACTATAATAGCACCTTACACTTTTGAATAAAAATCTAAGAACTTACCTCTGCATATCGGCTTTCGTACTAAAATGAAAAAAAATACGCAGAAATAATGAACACATGGATCGCAAATCTCACAAGAGATCTATGTAGGACACAGTTAGAATCAGATTTGAATTTAGTCGGACATCCTAACCAAACAAATGTATGCGTAACATAGCCTACAGGAGGGTCTCAATGGGGTTAACCGTGAGCCGTGAAACGGCTGAAAAATTAGCCGTGAGTCGAATATTTTTTATAGCGTGAGCCGTGATCCAGTATTGTTTCTCAGAAGGACAGTCAACTCCAGACGCGCGCTTGTAATTTTTTTTAGTAAATTTAAAAAATAWAAGCTTTAGTGGATATTTTTTCAAAATTTTGACTTGAAAAAAAATTTTTTTCGGGCCTTCGGGCCGTGCAGGAATTTTTCCCCAAAATCTTCCACTCTCCCCCCTCCCCCAGAAATTCTAATGGATCGCACCTACCAACAAGGTCTCCCAGACAAGTCAGGGCATGGACAAAATTTGACATTTGAAATAAAAAATTAAAATTAACTGAGTGTCTGTAACGTACAAGGGACACTGTGCTCCCACACTCACTGTATCTCTAGCACAAAACAAATTACATGAAAAAGTGATGAAAAACGTTGCTTTCATTTAAAAAATTTCTGAAAGTAATCTAGTTAACCGTGATTCGAAAAATTAGTCGTGAGTCGTGAAATAGCCAAATTTTTAGCCGTGAGTCGTGATTCGTACCACCCCATTGAGACCCTCCTACAGAAGGTGAAAAGTTATTGCCACTGCTTTGATTGTGCAACCCAGTTACTTTGAAGAAGGCTCAATGGACCTTGTTGCATTGGATTTGTTTATCTAGCCTTTCTTACCTTTGTGCGGGTCCATTTGAATACGCTGAAGGAATGAATCTAAACACACAAAAAAAACGGTACATCACTTATAGTGACATTTACAATTCAATATGAAACTGAAATTAACTTAATATTAATCCACAATTTGTGAACATGCCGCATGTATCATATCATAAAAGTTGGTTGAAAACTATCAGTTGAAAATTATCACCTCGGATGTCTTCGTCCTCGTCCACATCTTGTGGTACTTCTAGAGCTTCATCTTGCTCGTCAGCTGGAAGATCTTCTTTGAATTCTTCAGGAATTTCAGGCTCTTCTTCAGCTGGAGCAGCTCCAATGAAGGCAACGAGACCAAAGATCACGAGAAGAGTCAACGAGAGCTTCATGATTGTCAGCAGTACGAAAAATTACTCGACTGAAGTCAAAGTGAAATTACTTGCTCTTTTATGCGTTCATTACCCATAATACTTTACTCACGACACACTAGTTTGATTTTGAAAAGACATAAAAGGAAAACAAAAGAAAACGCGTTGATCATATCTGAAAAGATTTCACTCGGCTGGTGGTACTTCTAAAAGCTGAGCATTCAAACAAAACTCAGCATGAGTGAGCCGTCGAGGGTGGCGCCCCACTGAGGGACGTTGCCGAAGCAGAAATTTCTATAAAANGATTAAAATGTTTATTTTTTTACTCTCTTTCTTTCCAAAAACGTCTCATAAAAATTTTTGGGACATACAAGCTTTGTTAGCTTGAATTAAGAGGATTCTAAACGGCAAATTTATTCAAATGCTCAGTGCACTCTTGTTGATGAGTAAACTCAAACATCATTTTGAGATGTCTGTCTGTAGACTTGGGTAGTCTTGGAAATGGTATAGAAAAATCTGATAATTTTTAAACTATATTCGCTGCTTTACAACCATAGATGAAAACAAAAACAAAAACAAAACAAAACACAGATATACTAATACAAAAACAACAACAACAAATGAACTGCATCGTAAAATTAAGTGAAAAACCCAAATGTAAATTTGTTCAAATAAGGACTCTCGAAGGAGTTGCGATCTACCTCTGCACTCCAAAGCACAAAAGGCTCATCATATCGATGCAATATTTACATTAAACTTCAACAGAAGTCATGGAAAATATAGAATATTAAAATAAAATAAAACTTGTTTGAGAGAAGTCGAGTATATATTTCAAGAGATATCAAAAGACGGCACTGAAATTAGCGCTCGATTTTTTCCCCAACTGCTTCGAGGCCTTTTAAGAAGTCTCATCATTTTTTGTTCGTAAATTACGCCTATCAAATACTCACAAATATGCTTGGATTTACGCTTTGGATCTACACAAGACAACAATAAGATTCAATAAATCAATCAACACAGACATAAATGAAGACAAGCGTTTAGTAGGGAAGGAAAGAACATCATTTATTATGGCATTTCGATTTGATGAATATGTGCCCACATGCTAAATGCATAGTTCACTTGGGATATTTAGAAAACGCTCAAACCCCTGAAAATCTCTCTCCTCCGGCTCGAGATTTTTAACGCCTTTTTCGTGTTCTCCCGACATCCCGCGTGCTTTATTTCACAAGTAACGCACGAAAATGTGTATGCCCCGTCAACCTTTTTAAAATAGATAAATGTAATGATTGATCTAAATGCAGAAATTGTTTTTAAACCGACTTTTACTGACCTTCAAAAACATCTTGCATGTCTAGTCCCTCAAGAGGTGCATCTAAAAATCAAACAAGAACAAAAACTAGTTAAAAAATGACAAATTAAAAAAAAGTGGTAAGTGTGTATAGGACGCCACAAATGCAGATATAACAGCCTTATAGCAACATGAATTACACCACACAACGTAGGATTACCATCTGCAGTGGTCAATTCACTTAGTTCGTCTTCTGCAAGACAAATCAACAAAATATTGTGAGTTAAGAAGAAGAAAAAGTGAAAAAAAACCCACAACAACAACAAACTTAAGCTTAAGAAWTCTTACCTGGGATGTCTTCGTCCTCGTCTTCTGCAGCTTTATCTTGTTCTTTAGCTGGAAGATCGTCTTCAGGTTTGAGTTCTTCAGGAATTTCACGTTTTTCTTCAGCTGGAGCAGCTCCAATGAAGGCAACGAGACCAAAGATCACGAGAAGAGTCAACGAGAGCTTCATGGTTGTCAGCAGTACGAAAAAAATACTCGACTGAATTCAAAGTGAAATTACTTGCTCTTTTATGCGATTAATACCCATAATACTTAACTCACGACATGCTAGTTTGATTTTGAAAAAGACACAAAAGGAAAACAAAAGAAAACGCGTTGATCATATCTGAAAAGATTTCACTCGGCTGGTGGTACTTCTAWAAGCTGAGCATTCAAACAAAACTCAGCATGAGTGAGCCGTCGAGGGTGGCGCCCCACTGAGGGACGTTGCCGAAGCAGAAATTTCTATAAAATCAATAGTGAATTATAATTTCTTTAAATCAAATTTATCATTAAAACTTTCATTATTTCAAAATAAAAATATGCTAGTAGTGAGTAACTTTTAAAATATTTCAATTTGAGTAGTTCTTTGACAACAAAATCACGTCAGGAAACGCACAAGAATCGGAAAAAAGTCTGTTCAAAGGACTTTTCAGCCTCGCTTCTGTGTATTTTCAATAGCCAAAACATTGTCTATCGTAACTCCTTTGTATCGAACATTATCATGAAAGGACATCAAAATAAAGATCTATTACAACAGAAACGAATAAAAATAATAATAAAAAATAGTAAATAAATGAAAACAATATGAGATATACAGCCATTTTGATGCAATTCTTTGCCGAAGATTTTGCAGCCTCGCTTCGGTGCATTTGACTGTCATTTCAATGTAGTTTTACTCATTYCAAAAAACATTACAGTTAAAATGACTATTTCTATTATATATTGATGCGCTAAAATTAAATAACAATAAAATAGTCAGTAACACACAAAAATTAGAATATAGAAGTGAGTTGAGTGTAATTTACAGATGACAATGCAGCCTCGTCTCTGCGTTTCAAAATTTATGCATATACTCTCAAGAATCGATTGCCTTTGCAGGAATCGATATTTTTCTTCAAAAATTCACAACTYGGGCAAATCATTCATTYAAAATCTAGTAAAAAGTTTAAAAGAAWATTGCTAGTCGGTGTTTTTTCGAAATTTTTAGTCAAACGTTGCTACTGCAAAGTGCGACAAGAACAATAGAACTCCATATATGGTGGTAACTTGAGTTATGAAACTTTTTACATTTGATCGAGCGAAAATAAYCAAGTTGTTATAAGGATATTTAACTAATATAAAGCAAAGGTATCCAATAAAAAGATTACAAAAAAAAACAACATTATTTTGATCATAACTTTTTGGCGAAATTTGGTTGGGACAAAGGAGTTTTCATATATGGTCATAAAGTGGCTCGGTTAAAAATCACCGCGATATTTAAAGAATGTAAATTTTTACGGACGCTGACAGAGAAAAATGAACCTTTTCAAGTTTATTCCCAGCAGGGACATTTCAAAACAATGTTTTGGTAACTGAAGCAGTTGTCATAATAGTGGACACCGATGCATAGACAAACAAGTACCAACTTTCTAGATCGCACTAGCTAGTATTCTAAATTGAACATTTTAACAGTTTTTACAAGCTAATAACTATCTATAGACATTAAATCAATAATATATAGATGTATTTAAATGCATAAAGATYTGAATAATATTCTGATAAGACTCCAGTTTCGAATAAAATTTCTCCAATGCTCTGTGTTAGCCTCATTTCTGCGCAAAATATTCTTTATYGTGAGTGTAAAGGTGTGAGATTTCAAATCAAATTTATTGTCTTTCTTCACAAAATTCCATGCGTTTTCTCGAGCTATCAACGAAACAAAATAATATGTTACTTGGTTTTGAGGCTAACACAGAGCAAACCAGAACCCGAAATTGGAGTATTTTCATATCAAGATGCAGTGTTACCTGCATTGCCTCTGTTCAAGCTGCAATTTGAGAGAGTACATAATATATTTTATTCTAATATATTTAATAGTAATTGGAGCTATAAAACCTACTATGTGAAATTTCAATGTTTGGATGTGACGCCAATGCTTGGGATATTTTATAAGTCAAAATCACTCATGAGAAAAATATTATCTCTAGCTTCCACTTTCAATATTTAAAAAGTTTCAATTCTTAAAACATACTAAAAAAAACTACTGTAAGTTCATTATATCAATAAACTTTAGTACATGTTAGTAACTAAGTGAATTTCTGTGTGTTGCTTGTTATGTTTGTAAGCTATGTTTAATGTTATTCTATTCATTAACAACATTACGTAACACACTGCGTTACCTTTACGTTTTGTACTGAATAGTTTTGCAATGCCATTAAATATTATGGACTAAAATAAAATAATAATTATAATAATGATAAAATATATAGAGTAAGACGATATTACATGGGCGCGCGGAGATACGGATTTTATCTTCTCGTGTTGAAAAGATTTTCAACACGAGAAGATAAAATTCGTATCCCCAAGCGACCATGTAATATTCTGTTTATCATATAATTACATATGAAAGCAAATTATGTCGTAAAATACCTTTTTTCTTACTTCTACTATATAGAGAAAACTCGAATATGGATTTCATAGATAATTATATCATGAAATTATATATTAAAATTGCATAATGACATTAGCTAATATATAACGCGAATAAATGAAATTCTTTTTCTTTTCAAAAATTGTCGAATATACAGTAAACAGAATATGAAGTACAGTTAAGAAATTTATAAATTGTCCTCAAACTTCAATTTGAACGTTTTCAATTACACTGTGAGGAGATTTTGAAATATTTTGTATATATTTTGCTGAGTCATTCGTCTAATATTATTTTCACCTTGGGCTGTATAAATGTTTTGTAAAGCGTTTAACCTTAAGAATTGACCCTTTACGGGATAGCAATAAATCCAACAGYGTATATCGTGGGAAAATAAATTGATAACAGTCCCAAAGAACGCAAAGTGCTGAATTAAATTCGAATTCCCTTTCWAGTTGTCTATTTCATTATAATTCCTTATCAGACCAAGTTATGTAGTTCTWAAAATCCGATTTCTCGACATTTTATTACTTACTTTAATACGTGTTGTCAATATTGGCGGCAATGTTAAAAACGTGAGCTTATAGTCATCACGCTGTGTGAGAGAGACCCCCTGACCTGTCTTAGTCTTGATTATTCTGATCAATTTTAAGTTCACTGAAGAATGGAATTGTCAATAATAACGACTAAATGTGATCTAATTTCTAGGCTCAATGGAGCCGAATGGTTTTATCATGATTCATATTGAGCATAGATACATATAAACTTTAGTAAAAAATAAAATAATAATAATAAACAATACAGTAATATACAGAAATTATAATCTTTTTGACTCATAGTTCAGAAGTATATATAAAATATATCGGAAAATATGGGATTTCATCGCCAATATTATTTTCACAAAGTGATAGTAGTGCTAAGAAAATATCAGCGGTGAAATCCTATATTTTCTGGTATATTTATATAAGACTTGGAATATGAGTCAACAAAAATAGTACTGAATATATAAAAATCGTGGGAACTAGCGGTAAACTAGTGTGAGCTGCGTCGGTGTTTCTAAAGAAACAGTTGTGTAAAAAGATAAATTTAACACCGTAAAAAAGTAGGTGAAAGAACTTACTGACGTTTCGGACGTTTCGGACGTTAATCCTCTGTCGGAGTAAAACGGTGGAACTAGGTAAAGTTTGAGTTTAGTAAGAGTAGTAAGAAAGTAGACCAATAGGAGCAAGGTAGATAATATAACATATAATAATACATGTACTGTATACAGCCTTTTGCAAAAATTATGAGAATTGTCTAAATATCTAAATATCATAATATACATATCCATATATTGTCCGGAACACGCGGGTTTGCTAGAATAATTCATTGTTGACATCGAGAAAAATGTTCAGAACTACGAATAAGTCTGTCGCCAAAAAAAAAAATAATAATAAATAAACTACAAAGACAAGGGACAAAGGGCATCGCGCGGGATTACCCATCATGCACTCGATATTATGATATTTAGATATTTCGACAATTCTCATAATTTTTGCAAAAGGCTGTATAAAATATATAATAAATATGACATTATCAGAACTGTTATAAATCGTACAACAAAAGGYTGAGATGTATGTACTTATACACAAATRATTCAAGAGATTCAGAGGTTATGTTATATTCCCAGCAGGGGTCATTTAAAATCGCTTTTTGGCCTACTCCAAGCAAAGTGCAAGTTCAAGAATCTTGTCAAGTTAGACCAACATATATAATATACAGTCTAGAAAAAACTCTTAATTTGGAAATTGTTTTAATGTTATACACTTTTAAAGCGTTTTAAAATCTATTGGCATTTTACGTTATGCTGAAGCGTTTAAAGCCGATCACAAACAGACGCGACATCGAAGCGTGAAAACCCATCCTTCCATATGAGTCACCGAGACACCGTTTTAAAATCCTTTTTTTTTTTCCTTAAAAGCGGCTTTTAGAGCTTTATAGATTTTAGACGAAGAACAGAGGATTCAAGCTTGATATATGGTCATTTTGAACCAATTTTTTGTCAGTTTTGGACCGTTGAACATCGGTGTAACGACTGATTTGTTGAATATTTCATGCTCTCAAAACTGAATTCCTCCATTTCATCAAATGATTTGATCTTTATAACAATATAAGTGAAACGAAGAGCAAAAATAAGCTGTTTCAGGACAGATTTTTGTGCAAATATTTATTCTTCGTGTTCACAGAYACGTAGCAACCAGAGCGGTCACTGTAGCGAAAACACCGCGCAAACTGCTTTGACATTATTCAACACTGATTTTTGAGAACAAAAGAAATGTCGAACGGATGTTGAAGCCGTAAAGTTTAAACGCTTTAAAATTGATTYAACATTGATTAGTTTAGTTAACATTGATTTAAGGAACGATTTAACGCTTTCAACATTAATTCAATGTTGAAACGTGTGGGAAGCCTCGCGTAAACGTAAATTGAAGTTCAACTAAGCTCAACGAACTTTGAAAGCGTTTGTGTCTGTCTCTATCTCTCGGCAAAACCTAACTTATCTCATCGGTAAAATGCACTTGCAAGCAATAGGTTAGAGTCCATAAAACTATAAAACTAAAAACGTATAATTGTTCTTTTACGTTTCAATTTTCCGTGGATTGCAATTYGCAGTCAGTGTCGAAGTAAATAAAACTGAAGAAAAACGCAACCTTAACGTTTTTTTTACGTTACACTAAAGCGTTTTAGGTAAAACGTTCCTTACCGGTAAAGGATGGTTTGCAGGCGAATAAAATTTAAAAAAAACCGCAACCGTAATGATTATTTTACGTTACACTAAAGTGTTTAAGAGACGGAAAGCGCTCCTTATCCGTAAAGGATGGTTTGCAGCGAATAAAACATTAAAAAAATAAAATAAAATGTAACAGTAATGTCTCTTATATATGTCACACTAAAGCGTGCTAGGTAAAACGTTACTTATCCGTAAGTGATGGTTTGCAAGGAGGTTTGGAATATAAGACAATATGAAAGACACAACCGTAACGGTTCTTTTACGTTACACGACAGCTCTTTATGTRAAACGTTACTAACCGTGAWGRACGGTTCGCAAGGARAGGTTTGGGMAAATAAATATGRAAKGCACAAACGTAGCTRTTAGTACGCTAAGCTAATWTTTTTTAAGTAAAATACTACTGAATCTTGAATTGAAGTTTGGAAGTCGTTYGGGGTGCGACATAAATACGGAAAACACAACCGCACATGCTCTTTTACGTTACGCTAGACYACKTGAGGTCCGTAAACTACAGTTAGTATTYYTYCSGKTWAARGRARRRKTWAWTTTTTTTTCAGTGTACTTTTAAGCCTGTATTTTTTTCTATTGATGATTTTGGTAGACAAGAGTACAGTGTTCCCTTGGATTTTTATCTTTAGCATTGCGGTTATCTAGTAGAATTACGTTGTCATACGCTTGACTTCATTCGTATGTTTGCGTTGTATCAAAAACAAATCCTTACAACGACATCTATACATAAGCTACAAACTAGAATGGAAGATATACAAAAACTGAATTATACATGTAATTTTTGTCGATCAGGTATATTAATCTGTTCAAATTTATACTTTATTTTTTTCGGTGTCACAATGTTCCAATGACAAGAAAAACTTATGCAAGACATAGCGCGTCTTTTTGAAAGCATCGCTTCACAGAGCTACAAATTATGAGGCTCACTCTGTCTAAACATGGACATGTTTGCTATGAAAACAGCCGAGTTCATGGAATTCGGATAAGTTCAATGCTGGATGYTACGTAACAATGKCTACTTCATCTCAATGGATTCCCTGTGGTAAGAGAGAAGACTAAGACTAGCGAACAGGAAACGGATTACAMAGTAAATGAATTCCTTCGACGCTCGAATACATCCATTTCATAAGCGCGCCTGCGATWTTTTTTAARSSSCCC